AATATTATGTAGCAGTATGTATGCATCATACTACATCTTATTTGACAGCTGTTTCCAAAACACAAAATGTCTGTGGGTTTTATTTACAAAGTGGATTGATATTTGAGACACCAAAGCATAGTTAAACTCCAGCAACAAGTTGCATATGATCATTACTTTTAGACGAATTCCTGTACCAGCTCATGAATTTTGCTATGAATTCTGTAACAATAAATGAAAAATCCAGAAAATATGAAACAACAACATGTTATTCATTGTCAATTACATGCATTATTTATGTCATTTGTGAATACTAAGAAGAGATTACCTTCAACTTTTAAGTAGTTCATTGCATTCTTTTTTGTTAGCTCACTGTTCTTTTCATCAGACCCTCCTTGTTTGTTTTCAAATTTCATTTCACTAACTTTCTGAAATGAAATAAAATCAACTCACATGGCTCGCTATATTAAACAGAAACAAGAAGAGAAAAACTTAAAATTAGACGAAACAGTTTGAGAGTTTACGGTGTACTCCTTGTGAAGTTTGGCAAACTCTGAGCACAGTGAATCATCGACTAGACTTGTTAAGTGTGCAACCAAAGTCTGCGTGAACCAAGATAACGTCTTAAAATAAAGAAATCGTCGATAGAATTATGAAAACATGCAGCTAATAATATGTATTACCTTGTAAATAAAGTCAGGAGGAACGTCATGAATCATAAGACTTTGAAGCTTTCTTCGAATGGCATACAACCTATAATTTTACAGTTATTATGCATGAATCGATGGTTACATGTGAAGCATTCAAGAGATAGAACAAGAAGGTGCAATTTACTTACTGTCTTGGACTCTGCTCGCTGACTACATTTTTAGCAATATTCAATATATCGTACTCCCATCCAGTTAAAATCAAATCATCGTCGTTGAGGGCATTCCTGCAAGCGAAACCGTTCTAGTATATTGTTAGATGACAACAGAGAAGTTGTTAACATTGTGAATATTTGTAAATGATGACTCACTTGTGTCGGTAAGTGGCCTCCAATGAACGAATGGCTTGACGGAGATTGTTTTTGGACCTCAAAACTATCTTCTTGATTGACTCGCGTGATAACTTTATTCCTTCTTCTTGTACAATATATTCCAAAATCTTGACAATCTGTTTATTCAAAAGGATACGGAAAATCAGTCCCTTAATTGGAAAATGACTGAAAAATTGCATATAATATGCAAGATGTTGATGCAAAAATGTAATTACTAGACGACGAGATTATAAGTGATTAAGATAACAACAGAAGTTGAATAGAGTTTGAAATTGTATGATACTGGAAACGTAAGTGATTGAAAATGCTGAGTGACCTGTTGGGTTGATGGTGAAGAGAGACGGACAGTGGTGCAATGCGATTGGATTGGCTGTAGCCTTGATTCATCAGAGCAACAAAAGAACAGCTTATTACACCCTTTATACTTTTCTACCATCCACTTTATATACAACACCGATTCTAACGATAGCTTCTCCGCCTCGTACAAAATGATTGCTTTTGTTTGTTTGTTTGTTGAGATATATAATAAACAGTTAAACATATTAATTACTTGATTGGTCCATACAAAACAACAGTAACGGCTTTAGCATTAGAATGCGTCATACCTTGACAGTTTTCTGGACTACAAGGCAATGAGCTATTTATCACCTTACCATATGTTTCCTTGAATAGCTCAACAATCACATGTTTTTCATATCCCTTTGCTTCCGAGAGATTTACCTCAACATGATGGAATGATTTCTGCACGCGCAGCTGGAGACTTTCGACCATTTCTCCCTATCCATGTCAAAGGAGAGAGGCATGAAATATTTAAAGTCATTTCCTTTCATTATATCGTTAACAACTTATATGCTTACTTACCAACCGTAACTTGGTAAATAATATGGTTTATATCTCAATCAGAAAACTCAAGAAAAACATGAAAGAGAGAAGAGAAAAATCTGAAATATGGTAAACGGCATAAGTGTTTTCTCATTAGGACCTCACTTATGCCATATAAGAGAAGATGAAATTGGAGGTAATGCTAATGGTAGTAAAAGTAGGCAATACCTTCAAGCTGAAGTCTTTGTATTCTTCTGTGACCTGATTTAAGTAGCAAAGAAAAAATATCATTGTAGTTTTCTCTATAATATAAACACGCGACAAATAGTAGGACATGAATGATGGATGAATATACCTGCACTCCATCATCGCCAAATACCTCTCGAAGCATAGCCCGTATCATGGATCTCTTTCCTACATTTGGGGGTCCTTCGAATATAAAATGATTACAGCCACACCCACCTTTTACCTATATTATATATGCAGCAATTATACAAACAAAATCTCAACAATTTTGTAATGATCGAAAAAGAAAGAAGCATCAGATTCTTCTCACCAATGCTCTCAGCTCAAGTGCTCTAGCTTTGTTGCAGATGAATTCCCCCAATTTCTTAGGCTGGTATTTGGTTGCCCACAGATACTCATATAGATTTCCTTCCTCAGCTGTGTGCTTCAACATGTGCTCACAAGGTACTTCCAATGCCACTGTTTGTTCAGAAACAGTCTTTTGACCACCCAACCAAAAATCTCCCAGTTCCTCTTTCAAATCTGTTTTCTCCGTGTTTATCAGTGCTTTCTCGTTCCTACCTTGTGACACATCACTCTCTTGTTCAAACACCAATTCCAACTCCTCTATACCTAAATCTGTTATGTCATCATTTTCTTGCTGTAACAATACTGTCTCCGAATCTGATGTTACTTTCTCCCTCAAAGGCTTCCTAGTATTCTCTTCAACCAACAACACTGCATCTTCCAAAATAGTTTTCTCTAGAATTGTTTCCGATTCAATATTAACCCTCAAAGGCTTCTCACCTTCAATACTATTGTCGTCGTCGTCGTCATCATCATCATCATCCATCTCCTCCAAAGTTGCTTGTGATGACAACTGATCATTAACCCTCAAAGGCTTCCCCTGGATCCCGGGATGGATCAACACTATCCCCTCCTCTAAAGTTGCTTCCGGCTCTGTCACCATCAGTGATTGATCTTCTGGACTTAAAAAGACAACAAAATCACGAGTTGATGATTGGGCAGACGTGGTAGTGGAGGTATTGAAATTGATGTTGAGGGAGTAGAGAGAGGAGGGGGAGGCAGAAATAGGAAGAGCAATAAGACCCCTATAGTATGGACTTGAGTCATGGTGACAAGAAAGAGATGAACTGTGATGAGGAATTGAATGAGGAGTAGCGGTCCAAGAAGCATCGACGACGAGAGAATAATCCGTAAGACCTTTGTAGTAAGGACTACTGATTGGTGATGATGAAAGGAGGAGAGGTCGGAGTGATGGCGAGGCAGTGTTGTCGGGATCATAGTCTTCTTCATGAGGGGTCGGCGTGATAGCAAGAGATTGATCAGTGAGACCCTTGTAGTAGGGACTATTGGAAGAGAGGTTAGTTTGAGGAGTCAAGTCATATGAGTCAATATCCTTCTTCATCCTCCATGATATCGATGACAACCACCAATGACCAGTGTTTTTCCTCCTCCGCGCTGAACGGGACATATTGTGCCGAGTGGGTGAGATCATGTGACGATCCCCAACAGATTGCTTCCGTGTAGGGCTAGGTATTTTCATTCCTCCTCAATCTTTCTCTCTCTTCTTCTACCAATAAAATTACAGTACTGTGTTTGTGCCGTTTCTAGTCGGAGTTTACAAGAAATTCCAACGCTGGAATAATGATATTCATGCAATGTAACAAAATAGATAATAAAGTATCGTTGCTATCTATGTTGTTGTCTTTCTTCCCACCATGACAACTCTGTTGTCTTTCTCTGCCGTCTTTGGCTTCCATAAATGTCTTCTATTATTTTTTGATGCAATTCATGTCTTTTATTTTCTTTTTCATAATATAATAAAATGGTACTTACGTAATCATCAAAAGAAAAGAGGAAATAAAAACTAACCAACACCCTAGCGTGCTTCTCTTTCCGGTGTTATTGAGAAATGAGTTCCTCCCTCCTAATACTAGAATAATTATCTACCGTCTAATTCATCATTGAGAGAGAAATCCTAACACACCCATGAAGAATTGTTAAATTGGTACCAGACTTTTCTTGATGCTAAACAATTTTGCTATCCTGTTATTATGCATGATGATACTAGCCATTATTACTCAGGCATCTCAAGCCGAAAAAACACAGTTTTTGCTACTATCTGCCAGACACAAGATTTGCAACTAGATTGAGGCTTGCTAGGTTCAATCCAGATCCACCAGCACGAAATTGATAGCTTAAACCCTATAAAATGTTTGAGCTCTTACCAGTGTTGTCTATGGTAGATGGCGGCAGTCCAAGGCAGAGAGGCGAAATTCCGCCACACCGACCGCTTTGCGGCACCATTATAGCAGATTATGGCGGAAAAAACCCGCAATATCAACTGATATTTACCATTGCAGTGAGCTCAAAAACCGCCATGTATATCCGTCATAGCAGCCATGGCGCCGCTATTTGATAACACTAGCTCTTAGAAAACCCATCTTGTAAAAAAAACATCAGAAAACTAAATGATATTATCCCAAAAATTCCATTTGCATTCACAACGATTTTTTTTTTTCATTTTATAAACCAAATTTGAAGATAGAAGAAAATTCTAGAGAATAAGATCTGAATAAGCGTTTTCAATAAGGTATCTTGAGAAGCTTTGTAACATATGCTAGAAACAACTCAGGCAAACTGAATATAAAAGCTAAAAATTACAGCAGAGCTTCTTGGCTCATATAGAGAAACACAGAAACTAATGAAAATGGATTTGTATTGCAAAGCTTTGTGGATAGTAACTGATCTTGAACCTAGAAATTCAAAGACTCCTCCTACTTCCAAAGGAACTCATGAATCATATCATCAACTTGATCCATAAGAGATTTCACAAAAAGCATCTTAATCCATACAGGTAATGTAAAGTCGGACATTGGAGAATCGAAAGGCCAGTATACCTACAAAAATTCTAAGAATCCTCTTTTTTCTCCCCGTCATTCAGGGGATCACAGTCAGCTACAGCGGATGGGTCTTCAACAGTTTCAGGTTGTTGCTCCGATGCAACAGGTTGGTCTTCAATTTCAGTGTTCTCGGGGTGGAAATTGATGGGAAACTTGGTAACCCTAGGTTTATCAGATAAAATGTTCCTTTGAACCCTATCAGTCAAAACCTTGGTAGGAGGTTCCTCCCTCAGCTGCTCATCATCATAGTCATTGTTGACATAATAACCAACCCGAATAAACTCTTGACCCAAATAAGAGCAAGTCAGTAAAAGCACAGTAACACCAATTATATCTTCTTCGCGAATCTTGGTCGGGTCCGGCGGATCCGCCTGGCATCAAAAGAAATCCATAGGGTTCAAATCACAAGAAAGTGCAAATCGAAAAGATTAAAATTGATAAAAACTTGCCTGTAAAACAAATCGATAGTTTCCAACATTGACAGGACCAACAAGAACACTCTCTAACAACTGGTCATAAGTCTCATCTTCAGCAGATCCAACGTAAATGAGCTTCCATTCCAAATCTGTAGCAGCATATGTTGTTACGACAATTCACAAACAAACAAAAAAAAAGCATAATCTTGGAGAAGTAAAATTAGGTCAAATTGGTTATGCTATGCAGCAACAAGATCTGAAATGAAAAACCCTAAATGATAGCAGGAAATGAAACCCTAAAAGAGTAGCACAGTTACCATCTTTGAGAGCGGCTAAGCACTCGTAGGAAATCTCGAACTGAAAAGGAGAGAGGAAGGAAGCGGGGTTATCGAGGACGGTGACGTTGGTGATGTTCACGGCGCTCATGGTTCTCCGTTCTTTGAAAGTTCTGGAATGTTCGAAACGCGGAAAGGAAGAGAAGAGAGGAGTGTTCAAAAGAGAAGGGAATGAAAGGTGTTGGCGGGAGGGAGGGAGTGAATTTTATTTTAAGAGAAAGACAGGTCAGACGCCACTCCATTTATCATTTATTACACACTCTACAACATCATTCATTTCATCTCCCTTCTTTCTATTCCACATTTCCTCCAAATATTTTAATTTATTATAAAATGTAAATTATTTGGAAATTCCAACTTAATCCCCCTGAATTTTACTTTAATTTTTTTTTTTTATGGATATGAGTGATTGATTGTATCTCTATGACGCAATTACATGCATTTGGTCATTAGTATAGTTGATGTGTCATACAATTATTTTTTGTTATATTTTCTTTTAAATTTAATTTAACTAATCTATTATGAGAAAAGAAGTTATGTATTGACGGTATAAAATAGTTTTATACTATCAACCAATCACAACTATGTATTCAATTATATCTCACTTTTAATTTTAAAATTTTTTAATGATATGATAAATTGTTGATTTTCTATTGATTCAATGTATAAAAAAAAATTACACCAACAATTTCACTATACTTGAAATCTGAAATGCCACTTTGAAAATAGAAAACACACAATTTCTCATATTCAATTGTTTGATATTGTTGATAAGTTTATATTCCACAACCACATACCGTCCTCCTTTCAAACCACCGCTTCAAATTTCCTCTACCTCTTTCAATATTAGTATACTTCCTTCAGGAGAATCCACTGTTGTTGTAATCGTAGATTCCACCCTCTCAGTTCATGAAACTCGACCAACTTCAACTTTCTCACTGTCATAACTCCGCAATTGATTATTGTTGTACCCCAAAATTTATCCTCTCATTTCTCAAGGATTCTCTCACAAGATCTTCAATGGTTCAAGTTTGCAACACTGATACATCAAATTAGGGTTTGAGTTTGCACAAGGACAACTGGACTTTTAATGCCTCAAATAACTTTCATGGATCATTATAGACCTTCAAGATTGCTCATGTCAAGTTTCAAGCCTTGGATCACAAAATTGTTCATTCAATTGATCACATGACCTAAAAACAGCAGTACTGATAGAAAAATCAACTATATCCTGAAAAGTCAAACTTTGACTTTTTGGTCAACATTACATTCCAAAGATTAAAATTCATCAAGACATTCAAAAATGTCAAGCTTGATCATCAAGAAGTCAAGAAAGTCAAAAGTCAACTTGAAAAGCCAAAATTTCCAAGACTTAAAAATTTTCTAAGTGTTTTTATACATGATAATTTCACCACTTCAGGCCATTCTTTCACCAAGATACAAGACGGTTCAAGGAAAACTTTCAACATGAAAGTTATAGATCCCAATGGGATCTACAACTTTGCTTTGCTGATCAAATCTTACAAGTGCTTGGATTTTGAGTTATAAACTCATGAAGTCATGACATTTTCATTTAACACTTAGAGAAATTTTCAACAGATTTTGTTCAGGATTTTATCCCAAATTCTTGGCATTTTTTCACAAAGTTACAAGATGATTCTGTCAAAATGGATAACATGAAAGTTGTAGAGGATGTTTCAAGCTTTCCAAAACATCCAAGAGCATGAATTTATCATACTTGAGCTAGGAGATTCAAGGGCTTGAAGTTGGGCATCCATCCTTGAATTGCAAGTCATTCTAATGAAAAACACATAACAAAACTCTTATGATTTGCTGCATAATCTTATGTTGCAGGCTTCTTTGCTTGCAAATCTCATCATAATTTAATGCTTACACCCACTTTTGAGCTATTACCCAAGTGTTTGAGCCATTATCCAAAAGATCTTTCCATTTATGGCATAAAGGCACCATTGCTATTCTTGAAAAGCACCTTTTAGTATAAAGTTTGTCTTAAGCCCATGCCTTGCTTGTTGCTGATTATACTCCACCATAAATCATGGGAAGTAGCTCCTCAATACCAGCAACTTTAGTACTTCATCTTGGGACTATGGAGTACTTGACTTAGTTTGATCTTTGTAATCCAACCAAACCATAACATGTTGTTTTAAAAAACCTAATCAGCTCATATGCACAAACCTCTTGCCTATAAATAGAAGAAGCATTTGCAAGAGAAGTTGGTTGGAAAAAAATAGAGAAAGAGGTTAGAAAAAAATAGAGAGAATAGCCAGAAGTTTTGCTGTAAACTAGCCATCAAGATCCCATACTCTCCAAAAAGCCATAAATGTCCAAAAAAGCTTCCACTCTTGAGTTTTAAAGTCCAATATTTGGAACTCTCACACCTTGCAAACTCTGTCCAAACATCTGAGCACCTCACATACATCACCTATAAATTGTTCAAACTCAAGAACAAGCTTCTACAACACCTTTGTTTTCTTTTCCAAGTTCAAGAACAGTCAAGACAACAACTCAATCTCAGAGTATAAGATCCAGCTCCAAGGTAAGTTTCTTGACTTTAGTTCTTCATTTCAAGCATCATTAGTAATTCACTTTTTGAAGAAAAAGTGTAGTAACCTTTATCCTTGAAGCTAACCTTTTGTTTATCTTCCATTCTTTTCATTATGTGTTAAGAAATAACCCATATATGCAGCAAAACAATGTTGAAATAAAAAAAATTATAGTATGATTCGACACATAGCCTTATGAGTCGATACATACTGCTTTACAGGCCCAAAACAGAGGAAACAATAGTGTATGAGTCGACACAAAGCACGTATGAGTTGACACATACAGTGTATGAGTCGACACATACCATTATGTATCGACTCATACTGAGTTAATTTAGAAATACAGGGGCAAGGAAAGTCATGTGTCGATGCATAGGAGCTTGTGTCGACACATAATAGTTCAAAATGCATTTTTTTCCCTTCTTTTTACACTGTTTTTACATTTCCTTTATTGTTATTCGATATGGTTGTAATATTTAAGTTACTATTTCATCCCCATTTGTAAATTTTACCCCCTATCCCCTAAACGATGTAATAGCGTAGGACTTTATTTTCCATAATTTAACGCTTTCAAATACAAATGCTAGTAATTAGGGTTTTGTATGGAAAGACTAAAACCAATCAATAGAAAACCCTAATCAAAGACAAAAATAATGCATGTAAATCAATACACTTGCACACAAACACCCCTAGGGTAAATCCAATTGGTTGCCTTACAAAAATGGTCATATTACGCATGTGAGGTATCTTAGCAAAGACGAGCAAAATACAAGATCATAGCCCCTCGATGACGCTATCTATGTTGACTTTCAAAATGATCTTAGTCCCTAAAGAAAAATGATAAGATACCTCGCGATATTGCTAATCATGGTTAAATGATGATCTACGCTCGTCCCTCTTACATCCAAATATAGGGCTTCTTACCAAATCAATGGTAAGATAGCAATATCAAAGGAAAGGAAGAAAGGAACTAAGACTTTTGAGTAGGTAGATTGTTCCTAGTTGCTTGCTCAATTTCAAATCAAACACTCTTGCTTATTTTCAAAAGAAACACCCACACTTTCAAAAACACTTTCAAAAACACTTTCAAAACATCTTCCAAACTTGAAACATTTTCGAAAGATCAACACTTTGTATACGTTCTTATGAACGAGAACTATTACAAAGTTTGCCTAAACGATCGCGCTTTTTCGAAATACTTTCAAAAACCACACAAAGCACATTTTCAAACAAAAGCAAGTGATCTAGAAAGTAACTAAGAGCCCATGGAAAACCATGGATGAAAAGGGTGCTAACACCTTCCCTTTTCATAATCTACCCCCCGAACTCAAGAAATAATCTCAAAGGTCTTTCCTGTTCTTTTCAGCCTTTCCTTTTGGATAAAATAAAAGTCAGTGGCGACTCTTGCTAACCGCAACATTTGCAATAAAATGCAAAACACCCAAGTCAGTTCTCCCACCATATCAAAGAACTGATGACTCTGCTGGGGAAGATTTTTAAAAGTGGGGTTACCTTAGGGCTAGATCACATTTACTTACTTTCTTTGTTTGACTTGTGTGTTTTACATTATGGTTATTTGTTTGGGTTTGAATCCTCTACCCGGATTTGGGATACCTTATAGGTAAGTAGCAATATATTGTGGAAACTGTATGGGGTATACCGACACGGTCTAAGCAATAGCTACGTTAGTGCGACATATTTGTGGGTATCGGTAGCCCTTGAGTAGTCAAGGAGAATACGGGGCTGCTGAGTGATGTCGTGAAGCACTAGTGAACTTTTAGAACCTTTACTTGACCAACTTGGCCATTAGGACGTAGTGAGATAACCGACTTTGGTGCAGTCCGAAGTTGGTAGATACTCGATACTACACTCATTGAGGTTTGGTTTTTGGGATATTTCGGTCGCCATTAAAGAGGCTTGCGCTGAAAAAATGCCCGAGAAAACAAACCAGTGATATTGAGCTCCTTAAAACTCGGTTATTATTACTAGGACAGGTTTGAGCCAACTCAACTTCAAGAGAGTACTTACCTATGAGAATCCATGCAAGCCTAAACCTAAGGACTTGTTTGCTTTGTTTGTATATATATACTTGTATATAACATCATAAACATCATAACATCATACTCATATTCACTAACCATTTAAAGGATCTTTGGATTTATCTTTATTCTGTTTTGTAGGACATGGATTTTATTCGCAGGAAAACTATTTAAGTCAATCTCGTAAGGATCTATCCTCAACTGAAAGAGTTAGAATCAAGGGTTCCTGATAATTCTCCATTTACCGAAAGACATGGTCGCCTCCTAAACTTGGTTACCTCTAACACTGATGAAGATATGATGAAGGTGCTCTTCCAGTTCTTTGATCCTCTACACTATTGCTACACATTTTCCGATTATCAACGTGTGCCAGCTTTGGAAGAGTTTTCCCAACTATTGAGGATCCCCATTCTCAATCAACTACCCTTCAACGGTACAAAGAGATCCAAAACCTGAAGAGATTTCTCAAGCCCTACACTTACAACAAT